TGAGTCGCTGGGATTACAGGCACGCGCCACCATGCCCAGCTAATTTTTTGTAGTTTTAGTAGAGACGGGGTTTCACCATGTTGACCAGGATGGTCTCGATCTCTTGACCTTGTGATCCACCTACCTCGGCCTCCCACAGTGCTGGGATTACAGGCTTGAGCCACCGCGCCCGGCCGGAATTGTTTTCTTAATTTCTTTTTCAGATAGTTCACTGTTAGTGTACAAGAATGCTACTCATTATTGTGTATGAATTTTGTGTCCTGCAACTTTACTTATATTGCTTATCAGTTCTAACAATTTTTTGATGGAGTCTTCATAGAGTTTTTTATATATAAAATTATATCATCAACAAACAGACAATTTATTTCTCCCTTTCATATTAAGATCCTTTTTTTCTTTCTGTCTCTTGGCTAATTGCTCTGGTAAGGATTTCCAGTGCTATGTTAAAAAAAAAAAAGTTGTGAGAGTGGGCATTATTGTCTTGTTCCTGATGTTAGAGGAAAAGCTTTCAACATTCCACCCTTGAGTATAAATGTTAGCTGTGGGACTGTCATATATGGCCTTTATTGTGTTATGGTGTATTCCATCCATACCTGTTGAGAGTTTTTATTATGAAGGATATTGAATTTTATCAATTGCTTTCTGTGTCCATTGAGCATATGGTTTTTGTCCTTCATTTTGCTAATGTGGTGTATTATGCTTATTGATTTGTATATGTTGAACCATCCTTGCATCCCTGGGATAAATCACATTTGCTTATGGTAAATGTTCTTTTTAGTGTGCTGTTTAATTAAATTTGTAGTATTTTGTTGAGGATTTTTACACCTATGTTTATCAGGAATATTGGCTTATAATTACTATCCTTGTTTGGCTTTAGTATGAGGGTAATACTGTCTTGTAAAATGGGTTTGGAAGTGTTCCCTCTGGTTCAATTTTTTTTTTTGAAGAGTTTTAAAAGAATTGGTATTTGATGTAGCTTGGATGTTTGTCTCCTCCAGATGTCACCTTAAAATGTGATCCCCAGTGTTGGAGGTGGTGCCCAATAGAAATGTTCATGAGGGCAGATCTCTCATTAATAGAATGGCTTAGTGTCATCCCCTTGGTGATGAGTGAGTTCTTGCTGTGTGAGTCTACACAAGAGCAGATTGTTTAAAAGAGCCTGATATCTTGCTTGCTCCCTCTCTCGCCATATGACCTGCTGGCTCCCCTTCACCTTCTACCATGATTGTAAGCTTCCTGAGGTTCGCACCAGAAGCAGATTCTAGCACTGTGCTTTGTGTGCAGCCTGCAGAATTATGAGCCGAATAAACCACTTGTCTTCATAAATTACCCAGTCTTAGGAATTCCTTAATAGCAACACAAATGGACTTATACAGCATTAGTTTTTTTATGTTTGCTAGAATTCAGCTGTGAAGCCATCTGGTCCCGGGGTCTTTTTGATGAGAGACTTTCTATTACCAACTCAAACTTCTTACTCATTCTTGGTATACTGAGATTTTCTATCTATTTGTGATTCAGTCTTAGTAGGCTACATATGTCTAGATTTTATCTATTTTTTTTTTCTGTTATCCTATTTGTTAGAATATAATTGCTCTTAGTAGTTCTTATGGTCCCTCTGTATTCTGCACTGTTTGTTGTGTTTCCTCTTTCATTTCTGATTTTATTTGAGTAGTCTCTTTTTTTCCCCTAGTCTGGCTAAGGTTTTTTTTCACTTTTGTTTATATTTTCAAAATATCCAACTGTTTTGCTTATTATATTTTATCTGACTTTCAGAGACAGGGTCTTCCTCTGTCACTCAGGGTGGAGTGCAATGGTACGATCTCAGCTCACTGCAGCCTTGACCTCCGGGGCCCAAGTGATCCTCCTGCCTCACCCTCTGAAGTAGCTGGGGCTGTAGGCACACATGGCCATGCCTGGTTCACTTTTGTATTATTATTATTATTTTTTTTTTTGTAGAGATGAGGTTTTGCCATGTTGCCCAGGTTGGTCTCAGACTCCTACACTTAGGCAGTCTGCCTGCCTCAGCCTCCCAAAGTACTGGGGTTACAGGTGTGAGCTACCATCTCTGGCCAGTTTTGTTGATTTTATCTATTATTTTTCTAGTTCGTATTTTATTTGTTTCCACTCTGCTGTTTGTTATTTCCTTTTTTCTGCTAACTTTAGGCTTAGTTTGTTCCTTTTCTAGTTTGTTAGATATAATACTAGATTGCGTATTTGAGCTCTTTCTTCCTTTCTGATATAGGTGTTTATTGCTATAAATTTTCTTCTTAGAACCACTTTTGCCACATCCCATGAGTTTTGGTATGTTGTGCTTCAATTTTGTCTCAGAACAGTTTTCAATTTTTTAAATTTCTTCTTTGATTTACTGATAGTTTAGAAGTGTGCTATTTAATTTCCACATATGTGTGAATTTTTGAAGATTTTTCCTCTTACTGATTTCTGGTATTATACTATTATAATCATAAAACGTATTTATGATGGTTATAATCCTCTTGAATTTGTTAAGCCTCATTTTATGGCTGTATAAGTCAGTTCTCACACTGCTATAAAGAAATACCTGAGACTGGGTAAATTATAAAGAAAAGAAGTTTAATTGTCTCACAGTTCCACAGGCTGTACGGGAAGCATGGCAGGAAACTTACAATCATGGCAGAAGGTGAAGGGGAAACAGGCACATCTTGCATGGCTAGAGCAGGAGGAAGAAAGGGGGAGGCACTAAACACTTTTAAACAACCATGTCTCAGGATAACTCACTATCACGAGAACAGCAGCAGAGGGAAATCCACCCCTGTGATCTGATTACCTCCCATCTGTCCCCACCTCCAACACTGGGGATTATACAATTTGACATGCGATTTGGGCAGGGACACAGATCCAAACCATATCAGTGGTCTAACATATGGATCCATCTTGGATAATGTTCTGTGTGCACTTGAGAAGAATGTGTATTTTCTTGCTGTTGGATGAAATGTTCTGTATATATCTATTAGTTCCCTTTAGCCCAACTTGTAATTCAAAGCCAATGTTATCTTACTGATTTTCTGTCTAGATGATCTGTCCATTGTTCAAAGTGGAGTGTTGAAGTTTCCTACTATTATTATATTGCAGTCTATCTTTCTCTTCAGATTGTCTATTTCTTTGAGATAGAGTCTTGTTTTGTCAACCAGGCTGGAGTGCAGTGGTATGATCTTTGCTCACTTCAGCCTACACTTCCTGGGCTCAAATGAGCTTCCCACCTCTGAGTAGCTGGGCCTGCAATTGTGCACTGCCATCCCTGGCTAATTTGGTTTATTTTTTTTGTAGAAATGAGGTCTCACTATGTTGTTCAGGCTAATTTCAAAGTCCTGGGCTCAAGAGATCTTCCTGCCTTGGCCTCCCAAAGTGTTGGGATTACAGACATGAGCCACCGTATCCAGCCTGCCTTCAGATCATTTAATAGTTGCTTCGTATATTTAGATGTTCTAATGCTGGGAGCATATGTATTTATACTTGTTTTCTCCTCTTCATGAATTGAACCTTCTATTATTATATATTATATATGATCTTGTCTTTTGATTTTATTTATTTATTATTTATTTTTATGTTTTGTGCAACTACTATAGGTTTTTGCTTTTGTAGTTACCATGAGGCTTACATGAAACATCTTGTACTTATAATAGGCTGTTTTAAACAGATAACAACTTAACTCTAGTCACATACAAAAATTCTACACTTTTATCCCACCACCTCTTATAATATTGATCTAAAATTTTACATCTTTCTGTAATTTGTATCCCTTAATAATTTATTGCAGCTATAGTTGTTTTTAATAATTTTATCTTTTAACCCTCATAGTAGAGATAAAATTCCTTTATACACCACCATTACAGTAGTAGAGTATTCTGAATATGCCCATATATTACTTACACAATTGAGTTTTATACTGTCCTATGCTTTATGTTATTAATTAACAGGCTTTTATTTCAGCTTAAAGAACTCTTTTTAGCAATTCTTGCATCATTACTAGGAAGGACTAGTAATGATGACTACCCTTAAATTTTGTTTGTCTGGTAAAGTTTTTATTTCTCCCTTGTTTCAGAAGGACTTCTGGATAATGTATTCTTGGTTGGCACTGTTTTCCTTCAGCGCTTTGAGTATATCGTCCTACTCTGTCCTTATCTGCAGGGTTCCTGCAGAAACATCCACTGCTAGCCACATTGAGACTCACTAAGATGTGATCTTTTCTTATCTCTTTCTGCTTTCAGAGTTCTATCTTTAAGTTTTGATAATTTGATTATGATATGTCTTGTTGAACACCTCTTTGAGTTGAATTTTGTTGGAGACCTCTGAGCACCCTGTACCTGGATGTTTACATCGTTCCCCAGATTTGGGAAGTTTTCAACAATTAAAAAAAATACTTTATGACACTTTCTCTCTTTCTGAACTTTCTGCCACTTCTATTTTTACTCATTTATTTATTTGAGGCAGGATCTCTCTCTGTTATCCAGGCTGGAGTGCAGTGACGTGATCATAACCTCAAACTCCTGGGCTCAAGCCTAGCTTCTGGAATATCTAGGACTACAGATGTGTACCACCATGCCTGGCTAATTTTATTTTCGTAGAGATGGAAGTCTTGCTATGTGGCCAGGCTGGTCTTGAACTCCTGGCCTCAAGCCATCCTCCCACTGCCACCTTTATTGTGTAAATTTAGTTATCTTGATGGTGTCTTATAATTCCCAAAGGCTTTCTTTCATTTTATTCTTTTTTCTTTCTTCCCTGAGTAATTTCAAATGTACCATCTTCAACCTCACTGATTCCTTCTTCTGTTTGTAATCCCTTTTTCTGCTTGTAATTTCAAATGTGCCATGTTCAACCTCACTCATTCCTTCAATGAGTC